TCGCAATGTTTGTTGAAGACATGGTGAGTTTGTTTCACCGCGCGGATACCAACATGCCCGAAGCTGAAAAGCTCAACCATCTCATGCACGGCGTTGAAGAAACTCTGTTCGCTGGCCTTGTGCGCAATCCTCCGACAACAGTGGACGAGTTTATTAGGGAGGCCACGGCAATCAAGCGCGCGTTGCAGCAGCGGGACTATCAATACAATCGCCTCATGACAAGCGTATTGGTAGGTGCCGCCCCTATGACCACGTCGTTCGATGAGAGCTCTCTACGTCAACTGATTTGGCAGATTGTACGTGAGGAGATCGCGTATGAGAACGCCAGGCAAACACCACAATCGCAACCACCGCCAAAGTGGGAGGTCACAGTTGCCTTCGTCACTGAAGTCGTGCACCCCGAACTCTGACAGGCGTTCGCTTACACCGAGCCTCGTTCGGAAGTGGCCTATTAGCCGCCGGCGTACAGCTACGTAGACGCTGTTTGTCGCACGTTGTCTGCGGAGCTATCGTACCAGCCAATCTCATACAGCTATGCGGACGCAGTTCGTCGTCCGTTGTCCGCGCCGGTGCCGCAGTACCACCAACCACTCCCTTTAACAGCCTGCACCAAACAGACCCTGCCAGGCGACCGCCACTGCGGAAGACTGATAAATGGCGGACCGGCGATCGCCGCACTTTGTGCTACAATTGTCGGGAGCCTGGACATAACCATCGTTATTGCCTGCTATCTACCAGCTGGATATACTGTATCAGCCAGCCTGATGCTACTCTCCGCCAGTTAGAAGAAAGCCGTTCCTCGTTTGACGACAACTCTGCCGGCCGGCAATACAGCTTCTCTAACCTGTGAACGCGCCCACCATCACCAGCCCATTTTCTTTTCCAAGCCGTTGGAGTTTTGCTGACGTCGCCAGAGGCCGGTCTTCTCGCCCATGACGGGAAACTAAAAGCAGTGACCTCCGGGGGAAGGCTGAAGGTCCTCAAATTGCAGAAAATCCCTCGTCATAGCCGAATTAAGACGACACCGACAAAAAATGTTATGCGGAGAACAATTTGACTGCCGACCTCACTGTGAAGTTTGACGGCCAAGAAGTGACAGCCTTGGTTGGCACTGGCGCTGACTTTTCTATCATGAGTGAGCCACTGGCCAACAAAGTCAAGAAAGTTAGGACAAAGTAAGAGGGTCCTTACATTCGGAATGCTGGAGGCCAGCTGACGGCCCCTACAGGAAGACGCACAGCAAGAATTGCCATCGGGAACATGGCGTTTGTTGCCACATTCATGCTTCCGCCAGAGTGCTGCAAATCGCTAATATCAGGAATGGACTTTTTAAGAGAGCATGGTGCCCTTGTCTGCACACCAGATGGCGTGATAGCATTTTCAGCTGACGAAGACACCAATCATGACGCACAATAATGACGCAGGGTGTTACGTGTGGTTGACGAGTACGCGTGAATACCGCCGCGATTATTCAACGTTTCTTGGTCAGCTTTGGTGCGCAGTATAACGAACAAGCTGTGGTCGGGCATGCAACTGCGCCTATCTTTCATCAAGGCGTCGCGATTGCTCGTGGTATTGTCACTTTAGTAAATGAGCATGCAGAGGTGCTACTGACGAATTTTACGAACAAACGCCGACACATTGGTAAAGGCCCTGCTGTGGCATACCTCGATGAGTTCGACAACAGTTACGACTGTCTTGCTAGGCAAGAGGAGGAAACGGCTACAACACTACCCCATGTACCTACTGTTGACATTTGACCAAGCGTAACTCCGATGGAAAGATGTCATCTTATGAAGCTGTGAGCGTCCCGTTGCAGTCTTGTACTTTGGGACCCTCTTCTGTATATTTTACTCCCTGTAACATCCTTTTATGACACGATAATAAACTGATTGATTGATTGATTGCTAGACCAGTTTAGGGACTGCTTTTCGTCAACATCACGAGTTCGTTAGACGACTCTGACCAAGCACGGCATCATCATGGAAGAAACAGCTAGACCCATCTGACAGAACTCATACCGTGTTGCCCAGAAAGAATGCGAGGCAATGCAGGAGCAGGTTAAGAAAATGCTGGAGGATGCTGTAATACAACCATCAAAGAGCCCTGGAGCGTCACCTGTGTTGCTTGTCAAAAAGAAAGATGGTAGCCTGCGTTTCTGCATCTATTATTGTAAGCTCAACCATGTTACTAAGAAAGATGTTTATCCATAGACACGGATCGATGACTCTCTGGACAGGCTACGAGAGTCGCGTTACTTTTCATCTATAGATCTTAAAAGTGGGTACTGGCAAACAGTGGTTGATAAGTGTGATCGAGAGAAGACCGCTTTCGTGACGCCTGACGGGCTTCATGAATTCAAAGTCCTCTCTTTCTGTTTACGCTCGGTCTCTGCCACGTTTCAAAAACCTATGGGCATTTTACTATCCAGTCTCAGGTGGAAAAAGTGTCTTGTGTACCTCGATGACATGATCACTTTTTTCGGCACGTTCGAAGGACACCTAAACGGTACTGCTTCATCTGTTTTTAGTGATGCACCTCTCGTGTGGATTGGTCGTCGTTTTCACCGACGTGAGCACACAGTGGATTACAGCCGCTACTGACCACCTTATCACATACGCGGAAACCAAGGCAATTCCAATTGGCACTGCAGCTGATGCGGCACAATTCTTCATTGAGAATATTGTCCTTAGACATGGTGCTCCCGTGGTTGTCATATTGGACAAAGGAACTGTGTTCACAGCTTATCTTCTGCCTTCGGTGCTTACACACAGTGGCACAGTGCATAGGAAGATAACAGCTCATCACCCACAATCGAATAGGCCCACTGAACGCCCCAACAAGACTATTGCAGTTATGCTTTGCATGTATGTCAACGTGAACCACGAGAATAGGGACAAAGTTTTGTCATACGTCGCTTTCGCGTATAATACGGCCCGTCAGGAAACAATGAGCATGCCTCCATTCGGACTGTTCTATTGTAGCAAAGTGACTACAATGCTCGATGCTATGCTGCCCCATGATTCCAATGATTCAGAGACAAACGCCACAGACTTCACTGAGCATGTCGAGGAAGCGAGACAACTTCCCCGGATCAGGATAACCAGCCAACAAGAATGCGATGCCCATTCGTACAATCTCCATTATTGTTTTGTAGCTTGTACACCAGGGGAAAGATTCTGAATTTGGTCATCTGCGCGACGGCGAGGTCTGTCGGAGAAACTTGTACATGGTACTTTGGACCGTATAAATTACTGCGTCGTCTCAGCAACGTCACATGTGAAATCTTTACTAATGGTTCATTTTGCTCAAGACACCGTCAGTGTCTGCCTGAGACTGTGCATGTGGTGCGCATGAAGGCGTATCTTTTGGACTGATGTCGATTTCGACCAGCTAATTGCTCATCGACTGCTGTTTGGTGAGCATCGAGACAATGCTCTGTCGGAAGGGAGGGTAATGCAGCGTTCCTATTTGTGCCCAGCTATGCGCTGGCGTCGGTGAACACGAGGACCGATGCGCACGAGAGGCGCATCACTAAAAACAGACGAAGAAGCAGTTCGTTTGGCCGAATCCACCTTTGGTCTCTGAAAGAACAGCATCTTTCTGTTTGTTGCAATAAAGCCCCAGTACTTTGCGAACTGTCAAGATATGAGCACCAACGCGCTTTCAAACTTCATTAAGGTTGTAACTAATAACGCAGAATTACGGTAAGATACCAACTAATTTATGCGTCTCTTGGTTAATATTACCGCTGTCATATTCCTTACCTAGATTGACATTCAACATGCCCAACTTTACTTAATAGCAGACACAATATAACACACGTGGAATTTGGTTAGCAATCTTTTTGTGAATGAAGTGTGGGCAAGCCTTCAAAATATCAACAATGAAACACGATTTGATTATGTCTCACTCGACAAGCTTTGAATGAGCACATAAATGTGCAAAGCTGAGTTTCTTGCCTCTCGACTCGTACGTACCACCAACATGCCTGCTTACTAGCGAAACTCAGGGAGATCTGAAAACGTGATGAAGCCGGCCATGGTGGTTCAAATGTTATATAAAGATGCCTGTGGCAATAATTCAAAATTAAGCAAGCATAACTTGCCACCACGGCCAGCGAACCAATTTCGAAGTCTAATAAAACTAAAGAAAATAATATTCGCCACTTCAAGTCCCTCCAACTAGGAATGCATTGTCCAGTCCTTACGTTTATGAAATAATTCACCTGAAGAGGGCGTGGTAGAATAACCCGTTGAAATACCGGTCTTCTGAATTAAGTTAGAGACGACTCAAGGGGCGAATGTTGAAAAAGGTAGAACCTTAGAGGCTCTAATAACTCGTTCACCGCAAATAATGTTTCATTTTGAAGATTTCATACACAACGAGCATCAATTCAAGTTCGCACACACTGAAAGCGTTCATCTTGCGGAATATAAAAACACATATTCTTAATAGATTAACAAATAATTTGGAGCTGCCATTGGCACTGTCACTTCGAAATGCTATGACATCGTGAGAACTGGCGATCGGAACTAAACTCATTGATTGCTAAGGTTTTTAGTCTAAGCTGCAGAAAGCATGCTTTGCCAGCTATGATGGTCCCTGACTTTTTCAAGTTATTTTTTTTTCTTTTTGTTCTTTGCAATATCGTTTCGATATGTACTTGTGCCTATCTATCCTGCTATGGCCCCTACTGTGGTATAACGGTATAGTAAATAAATAAACAAATGAATTATTATTAAATAATTAAATTATATGTCTTGTTGCAATCGGTGTCGAGGAAATTTTGCGAGATAATCACCCAAATTTTCTGGTACAGTCATAACGCCCGTAGAGTGCAAACGCCATCCTAATGGGTATTAAATGGTTTAGAATATATTGGTAATCAGCACAAGTGCACGATTTGGACCTTTTTCAAGGAATGAAGATGCGCTTCTGTATAGCAGTGCTATCCGCATCCTGCTTACACGATGACGTGGTGTTTCTTTTTTCCGTAGAGCTATATGGTTTTGATCTTACATTTTTTCGAAAACCCTCTAGGAAGGCGGTGAGAAGGGTGAGTACATTAACTCTTGGTATTGAGCAGATCAGATTATGCTGTGCAAAATGAGTTCAAGTGAAAACTTTTTCCTGAAAGAGTTTTGTGTAATTTCTGCTACTCGTGGGAACATGTGCGACTCGAGTGTACAATCATGCTCGGCATATATAGTAACAAACTAAAACTAGATGACAATATGAAGGGTACCATTTCACAGAGTTTGATGCTTTTTATCAGAATACAAGAGGTCTAAATCGGCTACAGAGAAACAGCACCCTGTATGTGTTATTGTGTGCTGCCAGCTGCATGTCCACTAAAACATGGTAACAGGGCTGTCATCTGATGCGTAGTCTTGCCGGCACTACCAGCAGCAGCGGTTCTTGCGGTTCCTGCAAGCATTATTTGGAGACCTGTGTGTTGGTGTCGGGAGCCACAATTATTGTGATCTAAGTTCTACGCAAGCCATTTCTAAATCAATATATTCAATGAGCCGAGACGCACAGTGGGGCAAACATCTGTGGCAGCGTGGTATAATTTAAAATATGCTCAAAAAATGAACTTGTCAAAAGGTTTTATTACTTGTATTAAGCCACACAACTGTATAAAAAGTCACATAATTTGTGATAACGTAATGTACCAATGTATTACAATAGCGAAAAGCCGTTATTTAAGACATAAATATCAAAACACAGCACCCCTTTTTGACTTCTGTTTTGAGGTAATAAATGGTATATTATATTGGTGCCGTAAGTAATGAATAGGCTTCAGCAAACTTTACAGTAAAAGAGACTTTATGCAGTACTCATAGCTTTATGTAGTACAGCACACAAGAGCGACATCGAAACGCGAATCATACTGATATTGGAGCCTATGCCAAGGGCGCCACTGACCTGAAGGTCCGTTCAACCTGGCCGACCAGCAATTACAAGTCGGCTAAGTCGGAGCTGAACAGTAGAGCCCCCCTCTACTCCAGTGCGTGTCATTTGTGTGTGTGTCGGCTTGAGAAAGGTTGCATTCAGCACCACCACCTAACGCGATAAAACATAGCACTTCCTTCGAACCCTGGACCGGAAGTTCAATAGCATGTCAGAGACGTGGAATGCCACACGTTTATGTGAGAATAAAACTCAGTTTCAATTTTTCTAAATTTGATAGCCGCATCTGCCCCTAAACGTTTTCTGAGGGTGATCATATACCTGGTGATTAATTTGGGAGGACGTTTTAAGTTCAACTTTAGGAGTGGGTCACGCTACCGTAATCGGGCTTAGTGCGCATCATCATTTTCTGAAATGTTGCGTGCTTCATTTCTCGGTGCACGCCGGAACCGTGCCATAACGACACGAATGACTGCGCGCGTAACATTGGTCGTTTGAACTGTCATTGAATACCTGCTATGAACACAGTTTTTTAAAAGCCCACTAAAGCACAAGTATTTCTCCTGTGAATGGTTAAATGTCCACTGTGTGTCCGTAGAGCAACACGCGAAACTAAGCGGCTGTTCATTCTTTCAGGACAGTTCTCGTGCTGGTGATGTTTAAATATATTTTAGTGTTTCTAAAGAGGGCGTCTTTAAAACACTCACTCATTGGTCGATTCGCATGTTTTGACACCTGGCGTGATTTGGTGGTTTAGCCACGCAATATGCCATGCGTTAAGGAGACTCCTTTCGCTACATCACATTCATATTGTGTGTTTTGAAAGCATAGCATTATGTAGCTTGTTTCGTAGAACTTCCAGCGTCGGCGTTGCCATTGTTGATTGTGAGCGAAAAATTATTTTATGCGCGACGAAAAAGCGTTAATGATGCAAAAAATAAATTATATAAATTACAACATATTCACAGAGTGAATTATGATGAGTGAAGCAAGGCGTCTGTCCATGCATCAGTTTATTCGTTCGTGCATCTGTTCGTTCGTCTATCCGTCCATGCGTCCATCCGTCAGTCAGTGTGATGTCTGTCTGTCTGTCTCTCTGGCGACGAGCACGAAACGCTGCGGCCCTCCGCACCCACCGGTCCACTTCGTCCCCGACGCACCAACGATTCGACACGTATTGCAATGATCCAGAACACCGACAGAGGCACTCGTTCCCCGCGCACCTAGTCACAGCCCAGGCTGCAGCTGATCGGAGAGTTGTGGCACAGTGTCATCCAGAATATTCTCACTGAACTGCAGTTTGTACGCACTTCTATGAGACAGCGTGATCTATATTATACTGCTCGGGAGGCACTGCCAGTTAAGTGGGACGCGGGACAAGGTTAGCCAAAGAGGACTTTGTTTGTAAAAAATCTTGGGTCACAGCGGGATCAAACGCGGGTCGTTTGCGTAGCAAGCGGAAGTTCTATAAGGACACGCGTCTGCTTGCGAACACAATAAAAGTAACTTCATCTACTTGGAAATGCAGTGAAAGTAACTCGCTTTTTACAAATGCACATGTCCTGTATACATGCTTCACAATACAACCTCAAATATTGCAGCAATATTGTGTCATACAAGTGCCCATTGCCAGCGGGTGTCAGAACATGTGACTGTCCTAATGAAATCAGGGTTTGAAGCTAGTCACCCAGTACACAAGGGGCACACTTTATAGCGCCTGTTTCCTTAAGGCCACGTAGTGGGTGCATAGCAAGTTCGAAAAAATTTCAGGCACTAGTGTTTGAAGCACGAACTAAAAACCGAACATCGGTATCCCCTTCCACTCCTATAGGCGAAGCTTTCGGGTCCCCGAATTTTTCTCCATGAAGTTTCAACAAACTTGTTGGATTTGTGGTGGAGCACCTGCTTAGGACGCGGAGTTTTAGGGTTATGTTTTAAATCAGAGCTAGAAAAATTTTTGTTTCACTTTATATCAATTCACTTTAATTTTTTGGTAACGAAGAAGTTCATGTTAACAAAAAATTCATGAGGCTGACACCAACGCCAACGCCGGAATTTATGCGAAACAAGAACTTCAATGCTCTCGTGCGAAATTTCTCAGAAGCGAGCAGGTGCTTTGGAATTCCTGAGTTCTAATTGTCTCGAGGCGTTCAGAATAGAAAGTCTGCTTTGGTAGCTAGTGTCGCTGCTCATAAAGTTAGTGCGTCAGCTACGGTGTTCGCCTTCTAGTTTTTCTCCAATCCTCGGTGATCCAGGCCCCTTCAGACTGTGTGTTCGTTATAAAAGCAGTGTTTCACTACATTACGACATCCTTTGGGAATTATGTCTCGCAGAGACGACAAGTCACCTGATAGTCAGCTACGATAGTGCTGTCAGTTCCCCTACATTCAGCATGCCCGATGGCCCCACTTTTCGCCTTTGTCACTGAAGACTCCCTGAAAGACGGTGCATCAACTGTTCAGCAGTGTTTTTTTAACACCACCGTGACAATGTTTGGGTGGGGATGACGTCTTCCTGAGAACTCGATTGCCCGTGGGAAGCGACGTGCAAATAGCAGATGTTCTCCCTCTTCAGACGACACCGTAGGGCTCGGATCAGACTTTGTGACCCACTCTGTTGGAAATCTCTCAAGAAAAAGAGATAGATTTAGTCACAGAAAGGCAGAGAAATTGGCCCGAGTGACAGTGTGCTCTAGCTTGCTACTCTACACTGGGGGCAAGGAATGGGGAAGGAAAGAGTGGATGACGATGGAGAGGTAAGGAGGTGAGCATGTACAATCCGGTCCGGTTGGCGCAGCGCTACAGACGCGCATCGAGTCCAGTAGCTTTTCAAAAGCTATGATCGCTTTTATGGCCACCATTGCGCTGTTGGCATCATCCCAAGGACCCAATACAACCTCATCAGTTAGTAGTGGTAAGTGGAAGTCAGAATCTCTCTCTTGCCTTCTCCGAGCAACAAAAAATTGGCTGTTGGTTAAGCAGAGTGGGAAATCGGGATACATTTTGTACCTGTAGAGAACAGTGAGAGGCAAGAATAGGGTGCACTTCAAAGAACCCCAGGTGGTCCGAATTTCCGGAGCTCTCCACTAAGGCGTCTCTCATACTTATATGATGGTTTCAGGATGTTCAACCCCACGTATAAATCTAGATGCAGGAATAAATGTATGCGCCAGTTTGCAAAAAACGCATAAACAAAGGCATTGACCGTCAATAGAAATAGCTGTTCTTATCTCTTACTATAGTATCATGTTAGGTAATAGTCATAATAAAACAATACTTTGAAAAGAATAAAAAAATTAGCATCAAATTAGAATAAGAAAATTAGCATCTAATATAATGCAGCCATAGATAAAAAAAGCGGGAATAACGCACTTTTGTTATCCAGGGAACTAACAGTAAATAAACTGGTCAACATTTCAGGCTGGCTCATACATAAGCGCTGTCTAACAGCTTCACGTTTTTAACTGAAGCATTTTCTATGTAACTAATACTTTTTTAAAAAAAGAAGCTTATTACGAGCGCGATAGAACATCAAATACCATGTGCTAGTTTTGTAGTGTAATACGTGTAGAGGAAACTTAATCAAACACAACATGTTTTAAACAAATATGCATTCCCAATGTAGTTGCTTCAGGACAGGGACGTGCTCCTTATCAGCCGTGCCATATATGGACGACCGGATTATCCTATGTGTGTGCAATCACGCTCACACGGATTGTATGCTGAAAAAATCCGTGCCAATTTCAGCTATTATGAAAAAGATTTGAAGGTAAGTATACTATTATTATTTTATGTGAGAGGGATATGTGTTACTACGTCCTTTCTGGCTGTCTGATGTGTTACGCCCCGTTACACGATTTAACAATGCGAGGTAACTGCGAGCGCACAGCAACTATTGCATAGTAAGATATACAGACCGTTCAAAAGAAACGTGATATAAAAATTAGGAGAAACAACTTAAAAAGTGTTACACCGTAAGAACCAACATAGGCACGCATTGTAGTCAGACTTCTTAAAATTTGCTCATGAAAAGGACATTTGCTCATATTTCCATTTGTTCAAAAATATGTCAGTTGTTGTTTCTCATGCGACACTTCTACATGGCTTGTCTTCCATCAGACATAATGCTGCCGTCACTGTAAAATAATCATTTAGGCAACAATTTACTACAATTACGATCCTTCTTTTTTAGGGCCCGCTACATATTGACAACTTATTAGTGCACTTATCAATATACTTCTTCTTAGCATATTTATACAGGTGCTCGAGACCGAGGATGTACAGATATTCCTCCAAGTAAAGGCTTATCATCCATATATCGAAGACAGATTCTGCCTAACTCTTGCCTTAGCAATAACTAGATACATTTCTGCTATACTGAAGAACGTGCATTAGAATAGTGACACTGTTCTCCGGTGAATCAAGCTCATGGCATGTCTCAACGCATCAGCCATAATAAAGCCGTATACTTCCCCCGTGCCCGCAGTGTCACGCATCTGCAATCATTTTTGACTGCCATAGACCTGAACAATCTTCCCCCAGGTATCGGCGGAAGATAGTTACTTGCAGTATTTTTAATAAATAAATAAATAAATAAACATAAAAAATAAATAAATGTCTACAATTGTTGTAGTACACAGAAACCCTCATACGTCAACTGACTGCGGACTCACCGTTTGTAAGGCTATGCACCTCTGAATCAAAAGACCAGGAAAACCTTCAATCTGCAGTCTTTCCATTATCTGACACTTATCTGGTCCAAATCTTGCCTTCATTTCCTGCTGCAGCTTACAAGTACTGTTACATATTGTCCGGAATGAGAGACACGAACGAAAGAATCATACTGTGCATTTGAGTCGTTCGGTGCCTGTACGAGTTCATCAATACCACGATGTGTTTTTGCCGAATGGTCCCTTAATTCCATTTTTATGGTAATGACAATAACGGACAGCGTGTCTACTGCTGCAGGCTAGCATTAAAGCAGGGTTCCTCCACCGATTCAGTCCAAATCTTGAAAGTCAATACACTGTCCTGTTGCGAATAAGCGTACTCCACTCATGAAAGGCATCAGGTGCATTCAAATCATTTTTAATAATCAAATGCATTCATTGGGCCATGACAGTAGTCAGAATTAAAGCCTTCTAACGAAAAGATATCTGCTCTTTCAACGCCTGAAGGTGTAAAGGGTGCCGTAAGTGTGCGCAAATATGAGTTGTGAGTTATTGTAATAAAATATGGAGAGTCTAGGAGAGATAAAATAAATTATTCGCTGAGAAAAAGGGTAAAAGAAAGTGCCTAAGAACGGTAAGCTGTTTTGAAAACGTCTTTACAAGAGGTATCTTCAAGTTGGTCGATGTTCATGGGATGATGTACTACCTTCGTTGCGGCACGTTCTTCGGCGCAGTGGCTCGTGTTGACCGTTGTAGATACATCTCTATGAAAGGTGATAAATAAATGCAGCCAGCCAGAAGAAAGAAAAGATGAGGCACCACCCAGAAAGATAGCGGCGATCGGAAGCAAACCCAGAGGAGGCAGGAAGGAGAGATTAGAAAGGGAAGAAAACCAGGGTTGTTGACCCATCTAGCAGGACTGGTATGACAGGTGACCCCTACACAGAGCAGTTTTAAGGAGAAAGAAATGAAGACAAAAGAGAGAGCGCACGCACAACGTCGGATTTCACAGTCATCGTAACACACATTGCACAGCACGCACAGTGTTCGCGATTCTGCGGGATATCGGCTTGTCCTCTTCAGATGTCCTATAACCAATAAGAGTACTTGCTTGGGCCAGTTCGCAGCTATTCATTGTCACCCTGTTGCACGTGTGTCCGTCTATTCCTTCTTCCCAAGTGTTCGTCTTTTAAGCAGTCCGCAATAAGTTGACTCCGATAACAAGGTGCAATGCACGCCTTGGAAATAAACAGCCATGGAAATGGCTACATGCAGGTATATGATGGCTTAAAGTCTTTACCTATGTTTTTACTCAGAGATTTTAACTTTCCCAACATAACGTGGAACACAATGCCGATACGTATTTCCCCCTTTTCACAGCAGAGTGAAGATTTTCTGAATACATGCTCCGTTTATTGCTTGAATCAGTAACTCAAGCCACAAGAATTACAAGTAATACAGCAAGCACTCTCGACCTAATACTAGCAACGCATCCTGACCTTGTCTCCGACATTACATACTTACCAGGAATCAGCGACCATGTCTCGCTAAACTTTGTTATCAATATTAGCCCTAGTAGACTAAACAGCAGAAACGCATACGATGCTACCGGAAAGCTAACTTCGAAGCAATAAATAATGAGCCAACTCACTTTTACGATGATTTTGTTAGAGATATTGAATCTCGTTCCGTTCAATCCAACTGGGATCTGTTCGCATGCACAGTCCATAAATTGATAGAGAAGTACATCCCAAATCGCACACTCATTTCCAATCCCCAAGCGCTGTGGTATTCCAGTCATCTAAAACGCCTATCTAATCGGAAAAAGCGTTTCTTTCGTTTAGCTAAAAGCTCGCCTTCACCTTCGCGCTGGACAACTTACAAATCTGCTGCAAACGCCTACTTAAGAGCTCTAAAAACTGCAAAAAACAAGTACCTAACTAGAACACTACCTGAAACATTGAAAAATAACCCTAGAAAGTTTTGGCAAATGATTAATCCAACCACTAACAACACTATATCACTAGAAGATTCATCTGGAAATAATATCTCCGATAACATGTGCGAATCAGCTATTAATGATTCATTTTCAAGCCAGTACTCCGAATCCGCCCTCATCATACTTCCTTCTGCGCACCGCTATAATTACATGCCCATGGATCCAGTAATTATTGAGGTACCTGGAATATTGAAACTAATAGATAAGTTACCTTTCCACTCCGCTCCTGGCTATGATGGCATTAATAGCAAATTTCCTAAAAGCACTAACGTAGTTAGTTCAATGATACTAAGTCAAATATTTCAACAATCATTGAGTACTTGTCAACTTCCAAAGGAATAGAAAATAGGGAAGGTGGTTCCAATCTATAAATCTGGCCCCAGAAACTCGCCTCTTAATTACCGACCCATATCACTAACAAGTAATTGCTGCAAATTATTAGAACATGTAATGTTCTCGAACCTTGCTAACTTTCTAGAGTCTAACTCATACTTTGCTAAAGCGCAACATGGTTTTAGAAAACAGTATTCCTGCGAGACACAGCTTGCTTCGTTTACTCATAATCTGCATCAAATTCTGGATCGATCATCTTGCGCTGACAGTATTTTTTTGGATTTTAGCAAAGCATTTGACAAGGTTGCCATAAATTACTGCTCTTAAAACTAAGCTTGCTAAATATTGACACTAACCTTCTTAAATGGATAGAACATTTTCTCTCTAATCGTTCCAATTCTTAACTGCTAACGACCATCATTCACCACTCACTGAAGTACAATCCGGTGTGCCTCAAGGTTCAGTGTTTGGACCTTAATTATTTTCTTGTATATATTAATGATCTAACTATAACCAATAAGAGTACTTGCTTGGGCCAGTTCGCAGCTATTCATTGTCACCCTGTTGCACGTGTGTCCGTCTATTCCTTCTTCCCAAGTGTTCGTCTTTTAAGCAGTCCGCAATAAGTTGACTCCGATAACAAGGTGCAATGCACGCCTTGGAAATAAACAGCCATGGAAATGGCTACATGCAGGTATATGATGGCTTAAAGCCGAAAAGGCTGTTATTTACATACATCACGAGTTCGTCATACTATGATCGTTTGTGGTTTGGCCTTATTAGCTGTTCCTTAAGAATGAACGCAGTCTGTGGGCCTCTCAAGCAATTCGCACTTGTCGTGCCTGTTCTGACCAGTAATGCACGGCTCTGCACAACGTACTTCGCAACAATTCACATGCATGTGCACCTACCTAAAAAGCCTTCATTACAAAAAACCACTTCAATCATCTATGTAAGCGCGATACATTAGGCTCCTACCTTCCGTGAGGCCCAAACGTGGCCTGAATGCGCAGTACACAATCGATGACTATTGCGACGACTGATGTGATGTAACACAACTTCATACGGAGTGATGTTTGTTGCAAAGTGTTTGCTAAATGTCTAAATAGTGCTGATTATACACAGGGAATGATTGCTCAATTGGCTAATATTGTGTATATGAACTTGTCTTCACCAAGTCTGCTGAACCGACGCACACAGCAAATATGCAGCTGCTCCAACATTATACAACAGAGAACGCAAGCTGAGGCCAATTTATGGAAAAGTGAATGCAAGCGTCCTCCATCAGAGAAGTGATTCATTGATACGGGGGGTTTAGTGCCCCAAAACCACCATTTGAATATAAGAGACGCCGTAGTAGAAGGCTCTAAAAATTTTGACCTTCTGGGGTTCTTTAACGTTCACTGAAATCTGAGCACACGGGCGTACACCATTTTCGCCTCCATCGGAAATGAGGCCGCACAGCCGGTGTTCATTCCTTCGAGGTGTGGATGAGGAGCCGAGTATCTTATCCACTTGACCACCGTGGTGGGGCCCATCAGAGAAGTGGGTTTTCATTTTTCATAAAGAAATGAGCCAAAAGGTACTGCCATCATTTCCATATAAAAATAAAAACCACTTCTCTGCGGAGAGCGCTGACATTCAGTTTTGCGTAGGTTGGCCGCAGCTCACATGCTTCGTTTTACTTTTGGAGCCGCTGTACATTTTCCATGCCCCTCACAGTTGCTTCTTATTCGCTCGTTAAAGAAGGGTGGTAAGGATTAGAAGGAATAATCTTTCCACTGGACTCCGTTTTCTTCTTGCATGCCACAACTATTAGCATACAAACAGTTGCTGATGTTACCTATGTTAGCGTTCTCTTTTTGTTCATGAAAATTTGGAGTTTAAAAAACATCCCTCTTGATTTCGAGTTCAAGGTAAAACAGACACTTATCATATTTCTAAAGTGCGCTGCCCCGCCGCGGTGGTCTAGTGGCTAAGGTACTCGGCTGCTGACCCGCAAGTCGCGGGTTCATATCCCGGCTGCGGCGGCTGCATTTCCGATGGAGGCGGAAATGTTGTAGGCCCATGTACTCAGATTCGGGTGCATGTTAAAGAACCCCAGGTGGTCGAAATTTCCGGAGCCCTCCACTACGGCGTCTCTCATAATCATATGGTGGTTTTGGGACGTTAAACCCCACAAATCTAATCTAATCTTCTAAAGTGCGCTTCTCTGCACCACTTATCGGAACTGCCTATATGGCGGAACCTGTCGTGCTTCAAGCGCAGACGCGGTCCGAGGTGAACTTGCTGGGGCTTGCCTATTACGAGTGTATATATTGGGAGAGGAGACCCGACATTTTCGAAGGCAATGCATACGCAAACCACGCTTAATCAGGCTGTTTGCACTAAATTACCAGCCGCATGAGTTGTTCAACCTGCATAGCAGGAATGCAAACTTTACAATTTTGAAAAAGGTTCATCGCGCTTCGAGAACAGTTTGATGTCGCTAAGTTGTTGGGCCTGGTAAAAAGTACTATATGGCGCGTCAATAACGTCAGCAAAGTAGCGATTGTTCGTGAAAAAATGCGACTGCTTGGTCACATCATGAACATTCGTTATAATCATGAACATTATGAATTATACATCTTTCATAATTTAAATTACTGCATAGGTAAATTTATTCTATTAATTACAAAAGTTCCGGCGAGGTATGATACTTAAATACGAGTTTTCTTTCGTCGAATTAAAAAAGTACTGCAGTCTCGTTCAATAAATTGCTATAAGCCAAAAGGCAAACCACGCTAGTAGAATCAAGTGGTGAATGTCCTTCCAGCATGTTGGATAAATTTTTCGAAATTATTACTGTCTTCGCAGGAAATGAAGACAAACGGTCAAAGGATCTACCGGTAGGTACCATCAATGTTTGCAGTTGGCTGCTAATACATGTGAAAGTTATTCTGATAAAGCTGCAAGCATCTGATCGATGGATAGTACTGGACAGCGATAGGTGTAAAGTGAGTGACTTTTATAGTGCACATTGAAGGTGCCGACCCTAATGAATGCTACGTCAGGAAAGCGATTGTACTCAGATACTACATATCTGAAGGAATTTGTCAAAAACACTGCAAAATAAAGAAGTGGCCTGCCACCTTCGGCGCTAGTCGTTGTGTTATGGCCGACTTCGGAGGATGACTGTAGAAATTCATTTTGGTCGTAATGTAATGCTAGCAACCCATTTTTGAAAAAATATTGTGCACCTTGGTATGAAGTACTGTGACAACTTTTCGTAACAAGTTCTACGGTAAAATTACCGCATAACCTATTTTCATTGTCCTACGTTTTACCCTACACCAAGAATCAACACAGTGTAACAATGATAACATGCAGATAACGTAGAATGTTCGACGTTCAGATGAATGGGGTGCCTCCGGAATCCGACCACCTGTGACCGTGTGACAAAGAAATCTGAGAACGCAATCACTTGACGTCATATTGTGAGGTCAACTGACGTGAATCATTTGATGTCACACTGATTTCAGAATGAATTCAAGACGACATAAAGAATTCTGGTGATATGTCAAGCCACAATGAATGGAGGCCTTTCGCCACTTCTATATATCACGCCACGTGCTTCCAGCTTGGGCAGTCTGAGACTTGCGTGCTCATTACCTGAAAAAAGGATCATTCCATAAGCTTTCAGGCCTGCATCGCGTCGTGGCGTCATATACCAGGAGAGCCCAAATGTGTAAATTCCCAGTGATGGAAACAAAGACAAGCCCACGGAATATTGCGTTTTTGAAATAAACGCACTAACAAGCAGATATTCGGCGAAATAAGCTTTAAAAAGCAGTCTGACTTCAGCGAAGTCGTCGGAATGACGTAGAAATTTAACAAATATTTCGGGGAATAGGAAATATTTCTATTTTTATTTAAATATGTCAAAAGTTCGGTCTGTATCTCTCTCACCTAAATATTTAGGGGGGTTGAAATATAACTTTAGAAACATTGCACCACAAAAATATGCGCAACTATGTGTGAAAGCAAATATTTATTATCCTGTGTAGTCATCGTTCAGTTCAATTCACATTTGTCAGGGCATCAATAACGTTATTTGTCCATTCTCCAAGATGTGTTGGATTTCAGCACTCAGGTACTGAAAATTATTACTTAATAATATTATTACGTACATAATGTTTACCGAAAAATGCGCTATTGGGCACCGTTACCATGTTTAAAATCAGTTCACTTGGTGAGAAAATGCGAATAACACCCAAAAACGCGACGAAACGTCTGCATGAAACTTGGCGAAAAAAGAAGGTCAAGTTCACCTGTTATAATCAGAACTGGTGATAAGGAGCAGGGCAATGTGTGGTCTTGTGCGGCTTTGAAAACGTTGACTCTACATTTTTTAAGTGGGCTACTCTTAACATCTCCAGTAAATATGTCTGGGAGCCTGTAGCTTACCTTTTTTGCTAGCGACATTTTTTATTGCAATATGAAAATTGTATTCAGCATTTTGGAGTGTCGCGAATTTCAACATAGTTGTAAAGAATATCAACACTTCTTTATGGCTCACCGAAAACGTTTGAGCCATGGTGGCCAATCTTGCTTTATAATACTGCTTCTTTGAACAAAACATTACTCACACAAAAGGCTACTCATTCACTGTTGACAATAGTGTTTTAATGGAATAAGAAATGTCTATTTAGCTAATCGGGGTGAACTAGCTCATAGCCGGCCGCTCCTACGCCAGACCAGATAGCTCTAGCCTCTCAGCGATGCAGTGGCCCGTAGTTGTGCTTCCGCATTCAAACTGCGTCCCACGTGGACGAAGTAACGTCTTCGTCACCTCGTATCACCTTGTAAACGAAGGCACTGATGAGCTAAAGCTCTTAGCTTGCTAAATCTTAACAAAGTGCGCAGGTGTAAACGTTTGAATTTCGTGACAGATCCTGTGCAAAAGAGCAGGACTGAAATAAGCCAGAACCTGCCTCGATGTGAGTGACGTTGTTAGAGGCCTGAACATTCTAATTCATGTCATAATATCAAGGTTCGTCGTATTGAAATCGACGTAGTTATTAGCAAATGCGTATGTGGTTCGCTTGCTGCACTTCATTTCAGAGATACATATATTGATCTGTTCAAGATAAAAAGGAAGAAAATAATGAACGTCTCTGCATACATAGGTAAGAACTTTCTTGTCACACTCCGGTATGTGTGTTTTAGATATGTTGGACCACTTGAATGTAACATTTCCCTCTTGACATGATGTTCTGGACATGCCATGTAATCTTCAATAAAACCTATTGCAACTAATGGGTATGAAACTATAAGCTTCAAACTCAATTTTGAAGTGCCGGCAACAAAAGTGGCGAAAAAAATATTATTCAACAACAGAAATAACATTAGTGCACCATGATAGCGAAGATACAAAAATTTGGACTATATTGGTTAGTATACCGTATGAGGTAATTTATTCATGCTGGCTTTAATAACGCAACATTCATGAATATCAAATTCTTAACTCATATGAGCAAGGAGCTGCAATTGAGGATGAACACTTAGTCAGGAGGTTTGAAGTTTGGCCATGCACTAGTAGCCAGCAGCATCTTTTGTAAAATGCACAATACTATGTGCATTGTACTGGCGAGACAAACTATGTCCCAAAGCATCTAAGCTGCTTTAAAAACTCGATTAGGTATTTAGATGATACATAACACAAACTTTTATCCCGAAATAGCAAGACCAGCTGAAGTTGCGTATCAGGACAGTACTTCTCTGTGGATCATACTAAGAATACATTGCAACATCTTACAGTAGTACCTTCACAATGCTAATCAAAAAAAGATTGCAATGTTAACATGCATAACAACGTTTACGTCTGTTTAGCTTCTAATAATTTTGTATAGCATGCAAATATGACCAAACAGCAAAGATCATAATTTGTTTTTGGATAAAAGTTTTTTCAACAAAAAGATATCAACAAGCCTCAATCTTTGACAAAAGCCACTTAACAGAAGTTCGTTTTCCTACATTTCCGACCATAAAAAACAACGACTCAAGCTAGCTATTACATATAATTTTTTATTATTTGTGGTATTATTTAATGCTCAGTTACTTATCTTATTAGAAAAAATTCGCTGCAAACACTGCGCATTTGAACCTTGTTTGTTTTGGGACGCAACGAGTGGTTCTATAAAGATCTTATACCTGTGTCACACGGGCGCACAAAAGGTCTTTTAAGTAAGCGGTCTTTTCACGAAGTTGAAAGACTTTTAACAAAGAGGTGTTTACGGCGCAGACACACGGCAGCAACGATCTCCTTTTAGTGTTTTCGTTCGAAGACGCTAGCGAAAGCGTGGCGCTAGCAGTTAAAAGAGAAGCAATGAAAATTAAACGATGTATCACGATGTACAAATTAAAGACTTGTTGCACTGCTCGTTTCTTCAAATAAACTTAAGAATAAGAGATCAAGAAACACCAATGTGAAAGTTTGTTGCACTAGTTAAGGAAGCATTCCCATAACTAGCGACGTGCACAAGTACGTCTGGCACCACTGGGCCTTTATTTACCGTATTTATTTTTCGCTGCTCTCGACTGCTCTCGACACGTTATGGGCGACCGTACGGAAGAAAAAGCGAGAATCGCAAGCCTCACGGCTTGCGTTCTCGCTGTGAAAAGCGAGGCAGACGCTGCGAAAGCCGCCAAGGTGAGGATCAAGCAGCAACTGCTGTTCAGCAATTCCTTGCTGTGCGCACTGGAGCTGTCGGAGAAGACGTGCGATCGATCGATCTGGGCCTTCAGACAAAACGAGAGGTGGTTCGAGGGAACTGTACCTGACCTCGGTGAGCAGAACTTCAAGCAATCTTTTCGAGTGTATACCCGTCCACCTTTCGTTTCATTGTGGAGAGCTTGCGCAGTGAGCTCGAAAGGCAGTGCACCAGCATGCGTGAAACCATCACTCCTGAGAAGCGAGTCGGCATTGCCCTATACAAGCTTGACCACTTGAATGACGGGCAAACACACGACTGCCACGCTTTCCTCGCTTGTGCAAAATGACGCGGCGTGAGACCGAGCGTCACCACGTGATATTGCCATCGCGTTGTAGCTGCTTACGAGAGTAGAAAAGGAAATAACCATTAAAAGAGTTCATTACACCTTCTGCAGGATATGAAATTTGTTTTTACAAAAAGTTTTGGTGACAGAAAAATAAGCAATCGCTCTTTTTTTTTCCCACCACTCGAAAATTTCTTGCGCCCACTGGTTTCGAGGCTACTCATTCGGAGCCGTAAAAGAGATCGACGAACTCCGTTTACAGAAAATACCGCTTCTGAAAAGGAGTTCGCTCTGTGTCGTGTGTCTGCTGTCAGGAACTCCTTTTCGGAAAAAGACCTCTTACTTAAAAGACTTTTAAGTGCCCGTGTGACAGGGGTATTAGCTTGTTCATGCTTACGTTCATGTTTATAACACAGATAGGTCTTTGTGTGAATGATTGGCATGTAATATCATTCTTATAGTAAATTTGGAAGTAATGATATTTGTTTCGTGACACACAAAAGTAAATGTTATTGTTCTGTTTAAAATCTATACTAAAACCTGGTCACAACTTTATTTTGTACTATACTGATCTCAGCATTTAATGAAACCCGTAAGAACCAATTGCAAAATTTCCTCAGTAGAAAATCACCACTTCTTTAATAAGTTTTGTTCTTAGAGCACTCTACATGAAGAAAATCTCATGTAACATTAAGATGTAATCACATTCGTTTTTTTGTTCTTCTCAGAGGCTTGCAAAATAACACAGCGGCATTTTCGATTGGTCTAAAGTTTGGCGCAAAAAAAAAAGATCGTTTGAGTAAACTCTACTTTCAGTAGTTTGCGACTTCATTTGTTTGTTCGGTATGCCTTAGTGAAAAGGCAGCCTTTCCAGTTGTGTCTTTCTCTTCTTCCATCTGCTTCATGGGCAGAAAATTAACAGTAGGTTGCAATCGAATTAATTCAATCAATGCCCTTCATATCGCCGTGCTGAAACATTGGTATAACAGAGAATACCTGTTCAGCAAAGAAAATCAACTTTTTAAAATCAATTGTTTGCTTTTGTAAGCAGTGATTCTACATTTTCAAGCTATCTAACTCGGCAGTTTAAAACTTCTCGATAACGCAAAGCTCGATAAGAATAACTTTCCCCACAGACAAAAGATGTTGAGTTTGAACCACATCTGATCTGCATTTGCGATTATGGAGTGATGGTATGATTTCAACGAAAGTGTGACTCCCCCCCCCCCCCGCATTTTCTTTCATCTTCGAGGCGCTCTATTTCGCAGGCAGGTCCATGGATCAACGCAATGTTGTTGCGCCTGCCTTGCATTTGTCCGACCACTTCACTTGCTGCCTGTATTGCGCTGCAGGGCGTTGAGCCAGCACTGGAAGTGCACGCTGAACTATTCACTTGCGCTAAAGGGTGGAGCATAGGCCACTCACTCTGCCACACAATTCATGCGCATCTTGGGAGTGGGTCATACCGTTACAGGCGAGGTAGAACTAATTGTGTAAGCTACGCAGTGTACAGCCGTGGCCACGTCTGCGTAAAGTGCTCAAACTGCCGCTTTTCTCTCTGCGGGCCAAAACCTTGAGGCAGTTTAGTGCTCTGAAGGGGTGTATCAGGAGCATGCATGCCATAGTTGTCAGCCTGACTACGTCAGAGCCTGGTACTGCCCCAAGGTTTCACCCCGCAGAGCAAAAACCGGCTGTTCTCGTACTCTACACAGACGTGGCCGCGGCTTACGTCCCAAATCTGTACTGCCAGGTGGCTTAAGCCAGGTGAAGCGCATGCTGTGAGGGCCCTTAGCTGGCAGTGTGGTGGTCGTGGATCGGCCCGGTCGCGCATTGTTTTTTCTGAAATAATATCACTGTAAGAAAGCAAGACTCATTCACATGTCTCATTTATGATGCTTCAGTGGTAATATAACAGCATGTTTGCTGAAAAATTTTTAATCACGGAAGAATGAAGTGATTCTCAATGTTCGCATACGATTACAGTATTATGTTGCAAACTTGGTATATGCAGTTCTTTCAAACTATCGTCCACTTTTCTATACACTTTTTTTCTTATCGAGAATGCAGAATTGTTGATAGTCCGCAGGTCTGAGCGAAGAAAAAATGTGTGTAATTGTAGTTTCTTGCAAAAAAATATGCCCTTCTCGCCTTAATTTGTAATTCTGATATGATGATAATGATGCAACAAAATTTTTGAGATTATCATTCTGCCGTCTTCTGGTATCACTCTGAATAATTGTGACTGAGGCCCGTGTTCACAAACCAACCTCATTCTTTTCTCGATTTTTCCTTATCGGTGTTAAACCTTTATTGCGCAAAATAAACAAATTGACCCGTATCCATGAACCAGTCTTATCTGTATCTTTTGCCCTGTTATCATTTTTGTGCCTTTATATGTCATGTACGAATTACAGGAAGTTAAGAAAATGTTAGGTTAGGTCGAGTTTGGTTTGTGAATACGGGTCAAAGATATTGAGGTTATTTTTCGCATTGATTCTTTTAACTGACCAGTAGTATTTTTATAATCTTGGGGACAGAAAATTCTTTACTTTAAGTGTTACTAGACAAAAATTGGGCAGATCCCAGATACCTTGAGGATAGACGTTATGCGAAACATGAGAAGGGAAGTTGCCGGGTCGTAATTTTTCTTATTGAGCGACACATTACGAATTGACGCTAAGTATATGTAGAAATGTTGGAAAAATGAATATATGTTGAACACTTGCAGATTAATATTTCGCCAGTTGTTGGCACTTGTGCATCAATGCGAACAGGATCATGAGTATTGGAAACACGAGAAACAATAAGCTGATATGAAGCGCTGGGGTCCGCGAGGAGGGCCGACCCGGACGCTGCTACACGAATCGATTTCAGCGGATAGCACCTAACTACAATTGACGTAACCCGACGAGCCAACTGTAATAGACGAGCACATTTCTACTATTAATACAAGTGAATAGTGAGCACTGCATTCAGGCGTGGCTCTGTGGTAGAATACGTGACTCCCACGCAAAATGCTTGGGTTCGATTCCTGCGGGTACCATGATGGTTCTCCTTTTCATTTATTGGGTCAACGTTGCCCATATCAGCCTTAATGCTCACGCATTAAAAGTACTGATGTGTCTTCTCACCGTTCCTGGGTATATTTTAAGTGCAAGCCACCTGTGGCACATACCCGCCCCTGGGTATGTAACACTGTCTGGTGGGAAGTGTTTGGTGGCGTACGTGACGCGATTGAGATATTATTACTGTTATGGCCAGCGAGTCGTGCTCTTCAAATCATCTTACCCTCCCTTACTAATTTTGGTTTACCCCAAGCTGAGGGAGTGTTCATAAAAGCACGCAACCGTAAACGACTAGACAGATAGATAGATAGATAGAAGCCAAAAGTGCTTGCTGTATGCAAAAAAAAATGCCTCGATATAAAAACAAACGCATATGGGTAATATTCACACAATTTCCAATCTATGATATAGCGTGAACAAGCTCGGGTATTATAAAAGGCACTGTTCTTTGGAGAATGTTCCACGATATGCGAGCTAATTCGCTAGCATCATAGAAGCGACTAAACCTTTTCTTGTGTTTATGCTACAACAGGTAATGCCACAGAAATCATTTATACCGCAGTCAGATGTAACGAGGCAGCGAAACAAGCACAGTTTCTTTGCAAGTTAACTAGCATATTTCGAAGTGTTTTCATGCACAAGCGTGGTCTTCTCAATTAAAGCAAATGCATATGGGTAATATTCACACAATTTTCTATCCAAAATATAGCTGTGAACAAGCTTAGGCATTCTAAAAGCCAGCGTTTTTTAGAAAATGTTCTAAACTATGGGAGCTAATACGCTAATATTATAAAAGCGACTACACCTTTCCTCGTGCTTATGCTACAACAGGCATCTGTACTATTTCTCATAGATCACTGCCAGAATGGTCATAAAATTACAGAAACACTGTTTTTGTAAGATGCCTGTCATCACCCGGTGACGCTTTCTATTTTTGCTTTAAAAGAAAATATGGGAATTCACACACCTTTTTTCTGCGATATTGGAAGGGTGTGGTTCTGCTACGGAAGTTGGATATTTTTGTTCAGTTTTCAATCCACGTATGGAAGAAAAGCTATGAACCATCTGCCCGAAGGAAACCCTGATGGGATACGAATGAGCAGTGGTGCGCACGGTGGTGTTCCGGTTGAAATAGTCGTCGACGCGGGTGCTGGAAGAACGGTTTGAAGCGAAACTTGGTGAAGCGTTTAATTGAGTAAACGTTTGTCCAAAATTGTCTAAAAATAACACAAACACACACACACACACACACAGACACACACACACACACACACACACACACATGCACACAGTAGATCGTACCAGTACGCGCGTGCGAATGGTGCATGCATATTTTTTATCTAAAGCAAGAGTCACATGGCCTCCAAAATACACGCCACGCGCTCGCCATCTCAGAGGCTATAAACTGTCTCACAATGCCTAACAGAAAGCAGCACATTATCTAGCGTTTGCTGTTTGCTTGATTACCGCTTCTGAAAAGGCATGGTATGTTTTCCACTAGATCGACAGTGTTGTCCATATTTAGAGCTGTTTGAAAGTTCCTGCGTGGTTTTAGGGATGATGGCTGCACTATTACGGCCTTTTTAGACGTAGTTTGCGGTTTTCTAAATGCTACGAACCACCAATTGGGCTCGTTTTTTTCATGACACATGCCGAACAAAGAGCGTTGAAAAGGCCCTGAAACACTCTTTCAAGTAACCATAAAATGAATTCGATAGAAGAGCTTATTGCCACACCAGTTCAACGCCGCAAAAATGTTAAGAACACATCTAGTGCGAGTGGAGTTACAAAGGTTTGTCGCATGCTGCAATTGCACTATCTCTTCCCTCGTCCCGACGAAACTGCTGGAAGCTGGGCAGGGAAGGGTGGCAGGGGCAAAGAAACTACCACGCCTCGTGGCCTTGAGCACTTTTTTTTCTTTGAATACGTGACTTTTTAAGCGTGATCGCGTGCGCACGCGTGGACAAGTAACGGCCTCTTACTGCGATCTTTTCACCTTGCTTTTTCGGTCACAGACGCACAGATGCTTTTTCGCTCAGTTGTCCATCGGGGCCCACGCCGATGGCGGGATTTCCGCGACACGAGCTTTCTAACGCTATCGCGTTAAAATACAAGGACACGGGAGGCAGGACACGTTGAAGACGCTTGCGCTCGGCTTCCTTGGCTCGCGTCTCGTTGGTGATACCCGCGCGCCATTTGTATTCTTGAGCGCGATCTGTGTTCGTGACTCACACCTCGCAGGTGTCGCTAGTCTTTCATTGTCGACGGTTGCGCTCGGCTTCATTGACTCCCGCCTCGTCGGTGTTGACGTTGCCATTCGCGAACTCGATCGGCTTCGCTAACCTTCGCAACGCCAATGACAGCCGCTAAAAGTACGCGCACACTAGTGGGAAGCATACCGCTATGGCGTGGCGCCCATCTTCGTGATCGCGCAGCAAGCGGCGGCACGCTGGCCACATTGTGGACGCCGCGAGATTCTCGAGGCGCGCACAGCACGCGCACCCACCGGCTGGCGGATCCTTCTCGGCGACTGATGAAGATAGTTGGCGCGGGTGAGATGATGCACACGTGAAGAATGGATGAAGTGGTTCAAGTGGTAGAGAGGGTGAAGCGAAAGAGAGCAGACACGCGGAAAGCGCGTGGCAGGCGAGAGAAAAAGACGTCACTGCGCACTGCCAGGATGGCGTCAGCTACTTGGCAGCGCTCCCAGGGGAGCGCTGCGGACTGAGGGACAGCGTTACACAGGCCAGTCTAACCTCCGTATTCAGAAACGCCACTCGACTTGAACTTGACATCGACTTTGATGCAGCACAAAGGCCTTTCGAACACGCTGTCTTTAGGCGATGCCAAGGTAGCACAAACGAACAGACGCGTTTTAAACGTGCTGCATTAAAAGTGGTTTCAAGTCAAGTTCAAGTCAAGTAGCGTTTCTGAGTAGGGGGGCAAGAGCTGCTTCGTATCTAAAACGTATTTATTCGTGTCATATATTCATACATTGGGGTATTTGTCTTACATGCAATGCAGTATTGCAGCTCGACCTCCGCTTCTCACTGCTATTCAAGTCTCCCGCTAGCCCATGTATCTAATCTTCTTCAGTGTCGTCCATGGCACTAGAAATCCTAGCGATATGAAAGCTCTTCACAATATTGTCTGTGTACCCCACTCATCACACGTGTGGTGTTCGTACGCGTTGCCCAGCAAAATCCACCAAACGGGAAACACGACGTCACTGCTGTTTGCTAGCAAGATGTTTTTTTTATGCTAGCATTTCTCAGTTGCACGATGTCACGCTTCGGCGTCGGTGCCGTCCACACCCCAACTGCGCATGCTCTGCTTCTGTCATGCTTCGTCTCGTCTCCCTCGAACGCGGGTGGTTTATATATTAGCGATGGATGGGGCATTCGGAATTCAGTCAAGGGCGTCTCCTCTCCGTCGAATACAACGACGGCACCAAGCAATAAAGACACACTTTACATTACACTTCTTGTCATCACTTCTCCGTCAATCAAAAAATAGGAATAATAAAGACTAAATAATAATTAAGCATTCCCGAACTATACCCACTTACGCAACATTTACGCAATACACCCACCACTTTGCGATGTATTTACGCAAGTTCCCCCCACGGGAAACTTCGGATGCCCGCTTTTTTTTTGAAATTTTAACTGCCAAGATGAATGGAAAGGCCCGTACACGAGCTGTGCTCTTCCTTGAGTGTATATGGTACTGATATTTTATTTCCTTACTGCTTCCATGTTTCAGTGAATCAACAGTTAGACAATAAGCTCTCTGGACAATTCGTGATCCTTTTTTCGAGCAAAACATGTTTCATTGCGGGCACAGAAAAAAACGGTAAGCGATCAGTGTGTTGCGCATTGCACTTCAATTCCGATTTTCCTAGGTAGCCTGCATAGTTAACTGAATATTCTGCTGTCGTTTTATTGCTCTTACCTTAGCGCAAGTTGAACAGCAAAGTCAGGCTGTTACAAATCACACTGCTTACTCCATTGTATTTCACGCCGGGTATGAGTTCAGCCTAAAATTATGGGAGAATCTTTCACAGATGCCAAGCTCTACAGCTTTCATTTCTACAGATAGACCTATCTTACTGATAGTTTATGATGTAAATAGCTTTGCAGTAGTGTGAATAAAAATTCGGAGATTTATTAGTGGCTATACGATCATGAAAACAAGTTTTGCGTCGTAAGGAACAAGTTACCAAAACTTGTCATTTTACTCCGGCTGTGTCATGCTAGTCTTTCGTATAGATAATAATGAAGAACACTCAGTGCAAGTACTATAGCTGTGCACTGCTTCGGCCAAGCACCAGCTTCCTGGTGTTCTTGATTGCACACATTATCCTCATGACTGCATACAATAACGTTTTCTAAGAAATACAGAAAACACAACACTGATTATTATCCCTATGCATGGCCATTAAATAAGAAAAGAGTAACAAATTTTCACGCATGCTATTGTATTTGTAGCTATGAATTTTATACCAAACTATGTTGTTTGGGGTAAAAGAATATAAAGTGAAACATAACTATCTAGGCGGTGAATTAAAAAAAACTCCATGCGTATTGAGAGTAATTAACCCTTTTATTTAGGGGAACGTTTCCTAAGTCACTCGCTGCCCCGCTGAGCAGGCATCTGTGAAAATGCTCGCAAGGGCTCAGTGTCTATGCCCACACCGACGTAGTTTTTTGCCATACAGTTGTCTTTTCGCCATCAAAGTTGAGTGAGACAATTTTGAGACAGGACATGAGCGATATCAAATATTTTAATTCCAACCAGAAAGAACTAGATATAAAGACCAATACCGGAGTACAATACCTAAATTAACGTTTTGTGCATCACGTACTGAATAATCAGCGAAGGTGCACAGGCTAGCGAACGAGGGGTATTAGTTATTAACTATGCAATCGGCGGATTAGGTCAATACAAATTAGTTTGTTTTTTGTTCATTCACTTCGAGTGGTGCGGTCCTTAACCCATATGTAAGGTCAATTTTATTCTTGCGTTTTCCGAAATGGAAAAAAAAACTGATCCGTTTGTGAAGTTATTCATTGACATGCACACAAAATATTCCCGGCATCTCTTGCGATGACACATTTTGAATATTTTCTGAACTTTTTAATATTTCACTACTACAAGCATACGCACATAGGGAGCAAAATATAGCTAAACTTTGAAATTTGCCCAGAGGCCAGTGTATGAGAAAACATTTATTCTAAGGCGTAGTTCGAAGCTTCTTCATGCCTTGTGAATCAGTCAAGTAGATCTTTCAGAATTACAGCTAAGGTAGTAAAATATATGCCTCTTTTGCTTGCAGCTAAACCTTCAAATGGCGAAAAAGTGGTGGCCGGAACTTCTGCAGGTATTTATAGTTTCAATGCGTTATGACGTTGGCTCAGAAAACGCTCATTCGGAGTTCTCTCATACGTTCCTTCTAAACATCAGTTTTGGAATGATTGAACATTGGTCGAAGTAGAGAATAAGATGGAAAACAATTTGCAAAAAACATCTTACCTGCACAAACAACGCAGCTCACCGCAGTAAATACTGCAGTGGCGGAAACTGGTTTTATCGCTTCACCTACAACGCATATTCTACCCAGGCGATTGCTGGCTCTGTAATTCCATTGCTATATGATATTGTAGTACAAAATCATCTTCCACGTTGGCGATGACCGCGGCAAACCTGCACGCACATTCCAGATTTGATTTGCGACGTGAAAATACCCACATATGAATGTAGAGAAATTGAATGCTGCCTATGCTATAGAAGCAGGCATGAGTCCATCTGCTCCAGAACACAGCAGATTCCATTGTGGCGAAAATGCTTATTTGAAGTGTGGCGTAATAATCAGGCCTGCGTCCTCCAATGCTGGCGCATGTTAAAAAACCCCAGGTGGACGAAATTTCAGGAGCTTTTCATTACGCCACCTCTCATAATCATCTGAAAATTTTTGGACGTTAAACCCCGCATATCAATCGAATCAGAACACACCAGACTGATCATAACTGCTGCTGATCACTTGACTCGATAAACTCAAGCAGCCTCAATCTTATAATCAAATTAGGGTTTTACTGACGGAACACTTCAGTTTTTTCATAGTTATCTGTCAGTTAGGAGACAGTGTGTTCTGCATATCTCCAGACTTTAAACACATAACGTGCGAGATACCCCTGGAAACCGTTCTAGGTCCTAAGTCATTTTCAATGTATGTGAATGGGCTATCGTCTCTTCTTTCATGCGAAACCATAATATATGCTGATGACGCCACATTGCTTTTTCAAAATACCTCTCTGCATACGCTAAACGACCAAATCACGGCAGAGTTAGCCGAGATTTCCACATGTTTTTTTTTTCGCAACAAGATCGCTAAAAATATATGCAATACAAAATACATAACTTTTCCTTCAAGGAGGAAAAACCTAGAATATGGCATTATGAACCTAAAATTTAACAGCACGCCTATGGAGTGAGCTTCTACGTTTAAATACTTGGAGCTTGTAATGAATGAAAACCAGAATTGCCGTAAGGAAGTAAATTACATATTCAAAAAGCTCGCTTTTGCATGTTTCACGCCCATTAAAGCCAAGTGTTGGTCCTCAAGTAACGTGCTTCGGTCAATATACTTCTCCCCAAGCTAGTCTCAGCTCACTTATTGTAGGAAGATATCGTGTTCTGCCTATCCAACAAACACCGAACTAGTCATACTATTACAAAAAGACATGCCTTGAGAATCATTACGTCCTCTTCCACGTCCTCTTTTTGCCCAAGCTCAGATTTAGATTCATCGACTAGGATAGTGCCTTCAACGTCTCAGTCAAATTGTAAAATGGCGATATTGATTAATTTGGTGAACACGAAACTTTCGAGTAGCTGAGAGTATGTTTACAGCTCCGACCTGTAACACAAGACATGCAGGTAACCTCAACTTCAACCTTTCAAATTGCAAGACTGTGTATGTCAAACTCTCAATCTAGTTCACTGGTGCTAAAATTTGGAACGCAATTCTACTTGAAAGTAAACGTGCAGCAATCTTAATTTGGACGTGCGAAATGTATTTTGTATACCAAGAATGTTCTGAACTGAAGCTCACGTCCCCACACTTCTGGCAACTCCTCCTGTGTATACAAGTTTTTCTTTCTTTCTTTCTTTTATAAAACGTCTGTTTTGGTTCTTCAACGCATCTTGTCGACAAATTCTGCACATGTTTTTTTTATGCTCTATTTGCTGTATTATTACAATGTATGCCCTCACTTGTTTCTCATTGCTGGTGTACCTATGTATTCTAGCAGTAAATTTGTATTTATTTTAAAGTGTACCTAAATATATGTATTATACCTTGAAGCTATTCTGTTATTGAATTAGTAAAAATGAATATGCTCGAAATATAACTACACCTTTGCTTCTAACATGTAATAAAACACTCATGTAACAGACTGGAGCAGTAACTAGTCGCACAGGATAATGACCAAAGTGCTTATGTAACCATTTTTGTATTAACTTGATCACGTAAACATTAATCGAAACATTAATTCATTCGTAATCTATTCGTGGATGTCGAACTTCTTCATAGCAAGCATTGGGTAACTAATCTTTGTACTCATCGGTTTACTGTAGGTCTGTTTTACAGAATAGCGGTTCATTCTAGAGTTTATTTTGTATATACGAAGCTCTTCACTGAGCTCTTTCTTCCCTTGGCATTTCAACATTTCACTAGCGACATGCGATAAAGCGTCATTCTATTTTAATGTCGCTGTCACGCCTGTGCAAGCACAAGGGAGCGTAAGAGGCACCAAATTCCTTTGTAGTGCTTCGGGCCACATCATTGATCAGCATCATAGCAGTTGCCTACTCCTTCGAAGCTCGGACATCTTGATAATCTTCAGACTAAGCTCATCGACTGCTTAGAATTCGCAAAGCATTCTACGGTAATCTACTGCGTTACAATGATTGGTGCACAATCTTATCGACATTACTAATGCAAAAAGTCCACGTTTCGCATCTTTTTTTTGGCGTTCCATGGTTTAACTTGCAGCCACGCTAACAAATTCTGTAAAAAGTAAAAAAAAAGTGGGTGTAGGCATTTATCAGACCTCCTTCTTAAGCATGAGAAAACGAACAACAATGAATCCTGTGAGTCCTTTTCTTCAATACGAGCTTGCTTTTATTGGAAAATAAGCTGGATGAATCAATCTCATTTAAGTCGTTGAATTCTGCGAAAGAGTAGCATAGCTAATTTTTTATTAAATTGATGATCTTTAATACACTGATAAAGTATAAATAAGATAACTGCCCCAGAAATATCCCGATGACTATCGGCCTTTTTGGATTAACGTTTCAAGTTTTGTTGCTAAACTACTTGTCACTGATGAAGAGCATGCCAGGGCATTCTGTCTGTTTCCCTCTGAAGTGGCCGCGTCATTGAGCACACCTGGGAAACGGGCGAGGTTTTTTTTTTATGTGTGTGTCTAAGGCAACCAATACTTGTAACACAGGCAAGCGTGCTAAATTGGGAACGCTGTTTGCCCGCTTTTGCCGGGCAGCGTAACTTAGCTAGAAAGTACCAGGCTTTTTATTTGAAAAAAAAAAAAAACATGCGCGTGGTTTTTACATTGCTATGTTCTTGGGACGTTGTGAATATATATTGAGGATTTAAAAGCTGTTCAATGGACGAGGAGTTACACACAAAACAACTATATAATATAGGTTCCCGAATTAATCTGCCGCAGTAATTTTACTTTTACAGCAATATTACTGTAACTGCACTGAGATGTCGTCGACTTTTGTTCACAGAAAATTCAGCGTGCGTGCTGTGGCGAAAGGCACATGGTACCGAAAAAGAGCGGGCTCAGTGCAGGAAGGCTTTCAAGCGGAAGTGCGGGCAATACAGAGGACATCGTCATGTGTACAGCAGAGAAGAATGTCTTGCTCAGAGAAAAGCAGAGTAATGTTGAAAGCAGACACATACTATCGCTGTTCCGAATTGCCGCTTCCTGCAACGACTTTCTTGAAACCACGACGCTCGTATGCATGATTTATTTCTTGGGAAAAATTTGTGAGAAAACCTTGTAAAGGCCACGCACTTCACGTTCTGTAGTGCGAAAATAAAAAAAAAATATACGATACCCTGACACACCCGTGGCGATATGTGTCTTTCATTTTCAAAGTGAACGTTATGTATTCTTGATATATAACTGAAATCAATCACCATGCGGCAATGAATATATTTTAGGCGGACAAGAGTACGCTTGTGATGATAGGTTATCTGTGCCAGAACTGATTGTAGTTGGCGCATTTTATTGTAGTCATACAAGATGGAGTGAAAATGCATACCAAGTGATATCTAATATTACATCTAAATATCTCTCCAACCACACGTATTTGGCAATAAGAAGGCATGTTCTTCGGATGTAAAAAATCATTTAGCGGTAAATTTCACCTTTGTTTTGGTGAATTTGTAGAGGTAGAAGGGTTCTAATTCCTGACGTGCACATACTGCAGAAGGGGCTGCCAAAATCAAATAGGCAATAAGTTTTCAAGCTTGAACTGAGCCTGCGAATGTTTTACTCGTTTCTGCTTAATGACGTTGCTTGGCTAATTGCTTGGCCTGCATATCAAGAGCGACAACTGGCTTGCTTATCGTTTGAACGACTCGTGTGCCATCAGACCTGGAAACAAGACGCCATATGTACAACCCAAACTGAAGTTAAAACCAGTATGTATATCGGTGTAAGAAATAAATTGTGTGCAGCTCAACTGTGCAAAATTCCATCAAAAATTGCGTTTGTGTTGTGAAGCTTTTTTAAATGGTAACCAATCATTCCGAGTGAAGCATTCCCGTCCCTTATGAAAAGAAAGCTATCACTTCAAATAACTGTGCAATTTGCACTGAGTTGCTGCAAAAATGGTTACAGCAGGGTTGTAATGGCATATGTAGTAAAAGTGCGTATAGGGAACCAAAGCTCAAGTTTGTTGAGGGACGTCCACACCTCGCCTGGCTCTGGAGGTAAGTTCCACCGAAATTTGAGATAAGTGTCGAAAAGGGCGCAGGTGATTGAGTGTGTTTAGTTTTAGTGGAAGCAGAAGCGACACGCACAGAGCGCGCTTTGTATTCAATGCGGCGAAGTGAGGCGATGTTTTGTCAGCTTCACGCACTAGAACGAGACGCTGACTGTGCGAAGTAGCCTTTCGGCGATAGAAGAAGTGACCGCACAGAAGCATCGGCGCGGCTCAAAGTATCATTTTGTCGTGGGATGCCATGACAACGCAGAAAACACCGAGGGGCGCTCTCCACGTGTAAGGTTTATCGGTTCCCCGGAAAATATTGCCGGGCAGCCGAACACCTAGCCGAGTTTGTAGAACATAGAGCAAGAAGGACGCGGGAGCTGAAAAAAACTAGGCTGGAGTTTCAACTTGACTCGCAGTGGTTGAAGCTGAGCTTGCTACTTCGCGGTGAAGTCAGTGGTTCATGCTTTTGTGGCACGAAAGACACGACTAAAAATTCTCGGACATTTCAAAGCCCCAATCCTATAAGTTTAGGATCTATTTTCCGCGTGCCGCAAACGTTTAGACATGACGGTAAGGAAATGCTACTGCTAAATACCTCATCAAAACAACAAATATATATTTGTCACAAACGTCAATGCAGCTCATCGATAGAGTATTTGGCTTCTTGTCGACAGATTAAACTTGCCTCGAGGCATACGTCATGCACGGTCTTTTTATGGGCCTGAGAAATGTGATTCGCAGTTACTCGGCTGTCCTCGTTCTCTATCATCAGCTCCTCATCATAAGCGTGAGTAACAAGCTTCACTGCGTTTGTTAGATTAGCTTTTAGAAAGTGCTTTCCCACATCACAGATCTTTTTGAAGCCGCACTGTAGGCGTACATTGTGAGTTGACTCAAACGCACCGCGCGCTCTGCACTAGCACGCAATGCAGAGAAAGCACGTTGGTTGGAAGAGAAAACACGTGATAGTCGCAATACCCACGGGCTATAGAAGGCACCATGCAATCAAAGATGATTTACAGGGGATGATCAACCTGTAAACTTGCATAGGAAAATATAAGACTCATGGACGTACGCCCTGGGCAGCTTTCACAGGATGAACTCTTGATCTTCGAATAAATGAATGTCGAACAAAAATATTTTTCAAACGATAGGAACTGCTAAATGTTCGCTACCTCATTTGTTGCCGCAGTGCGAAGGGTAGTAGTGTGAGGTCATCGAAGTGCATCGACGACGCCTTGCGTATTCCTGCGCGTGCTACAGAAAAATGCGTGATCACGAGTTGACGTTGGAACTGAACGGCAATCCAACATCATTTGTCCCGAGCCTGACTGACAGCTTTGCCGCAGTACTAGGCCACTAGAAAGTAGCGCGTCGGCGTGGCTGCACGGGACGGAAAGTTTAACAAAGCGATGATCGGCAATCATATTACGCAATCATCAATACTTGCGGTTTGAGCACCATGGAGTTGCTTCTTCAACGGATCACAAGAATTTAACTTCCCATTAAGTAGCACTTGTGTCACAGCCATGATCAGGCTCTAATAGAGCCCAATTCACTTCACTCGGATGTTGCAGGTTGCAACAAGGATATCGAAGCAAATACACGCCTACGCTGTTCACAACGCCAAAATTGTGAAAATTCGTCGAAAAACAACGTCATTCGCACTGTACCGGTGAAGTGCAGGAGAAGTTATTAGAGAAACGTGGACTGTAGTCGTAGCTGCACGTTCCACAGCTCTAACCATTTCACTTCGCTGGCCGAGCTCTGGCGTGTAGGCGGCATGTGACACTCCGTAATGTCTATGGCACTTGGGCTATAGGCAATGCAAAAGAAAAAAAACTATGTTTTTTTTTCTACCTCGCAGAAGGATTTTATACAATAAATACAATCGAAGTGGCTTACGAGCGTGAAGAAACATCAGCGCACGAGGAGACGTAAAGTGCAACTCGCTGGTCGTGAGTTAGCAGCAGCTGATCGTTCATTGTGATGGTCACTCTAGGTGCGTTACGTCCAGTGAAAAGTCTTCGATGTCAAGACTGTTTCTTTGAACAGCACTACTGAGAATAACATGAGGACTTTTCTCCACAGAACGACTTTGATAACACCATTAGCGCCTCACTCAGTACGTTTATCTGGGCGTGGAGGGCAATTTGCTCTGACGCCCGGTAAGAATCAAATCGCTCGCACTGTGTTGCCACCCATCAACGACCGTAAAAATCAAGTTTCGCTGCATTTACCAAAGTTTAAAAAAGGAAATCGTGACCCTGCGCTACTTTCCGCGTACAATAAATGGTATGAAGCTCACGCACTACAAAACACTGACGATTAATATACTCACGTACAACAAGGTGAGTTCGAACTGCAAAGGCCAGAGGATAACATTTACCTACCCAACCTGGCTGCAGAAAATCTTGCGAAACTGGTATGTGTACTGTGTGGGCTATATTCGAACGCGTGAGTTGCCACGCATTTTCACGAATCTTTGCGTCTCGCAAGAGCAAATCAGAATTATCACGTCACGGATGGTCTGGTATATTCAGTGATGCACTAAACACACAAAGTGGTTTGCGTTCGTTTCATGCTAACGCGATAACACTGAGGCTAGCACGGCCGAACAAGGGAGCGTCTACCAACTGATCATCTTCAGGAGGATGCTCCTAAATTGCGATAGGCGGCGCAACAGTCTAAGAACACACGAATACGTCCGCAATCTATGCTTTTCTACAAGAGATGGCGCTGCCTCTCCAAGTCGCACCATGCATTGCCGTGGCTTCCAATTGATGTCTTCTAGCGCGGTGGCTCATTCGCACGTGCACGCGTTATTTGCGCATTCAGGCTCTTTGTACCTCTTCTGCAACCTGCGCAGCTTGCTTTGAATTTACAGTAGCTAAAGAGAGCATGAAAATCCAATATCCTGTGGTCGCAGCCGCATTTACCAAAGGAGCGTGCTGCTAACACGCGTAGAATTATGGCAGTTGTTCACGCGCGTCCTGTGTGTACCTGTGCGTTCATTTCAGGTGTCTTTCTTTCTGTTTGAGCAGCGCGCTCTAAGTGTCGAGCTGTGAGACTTGTTAATCCGGGCACGATCTGTGTATGCTCATTTCAAGCCTGCTTTCTGTTTGAGGTGTGTGCCGCACCTTTTGGGTTTCTTGCCTTTCTTTGCGTGACACTGTAGTCTGTTGTTGCAGCTTTCTTTCCTTCGCCCTTGTTGCGAAACAATGCACATCGAATGCGCAACTATATCTGTGAGGACACATTCTACTTTCGTGTTATATCGATTCCTAAAAAAAAGAAATGCGCCACGTTTATTTTCTATCTGTCTCTTTTTTGTTCCCTATATATCATTTTATCCACAATACACACAAAGTTGTATTATTAATTCTCCGTCATGAAAGTCGGACAGCATTTGTGTGCCCCAGACGTTGGGGAACCACAACTGCTCACTATACTTGTCCACTAAAAATAAGGAGAGAGGATAGGGCCGTGATACACTGATTAGGGACCGCATCTTGAAGAATAATACTTTTAGGCATTACTATAGAGTGCTTCGACAGTAAATGAACGCATGCAGGAACAAGACTACGATAATTTTCTCTCGGTGACACATGGCGAAAAGTGGCCGTAACAGCTCCCCATTGTATCTTCGAGAACGCTTCAGTTTTTCTTTGGAGTGTAGATTGACATAGCGTAATATTTGCTATTGAGAATGTTTAATACTACTTTAATGTTCTTGTTGTGACTACAACTTCGGAGGAACGTATGGCCCCACAGTGGCATGTATTTCAACTTAAGCGCGTGGCACGTCTGTGAGCTAGGCACCCCAACGACTATCCTTCTTACTTACATTCTGGGACAAGGACTATTGCAACTGCTGAAGAACATATTAGACAAAACGGTGTCAGTGAAACGACTGTAAAAAAAAGAGAACTCAGAGTTTTTCTTGGAGTCAGATGCCACTATCGAGAGTTTGTGACGAACTATGAAGAAATGTCACATTGTTTACCAAGCTGAAAAAAAAGATGTTCGAATAGGCGGGACAGGTGAGACAAACACCAGGGTACATTTCAGAAACAGCTGTGCTCCTAGAAGAATAGAAGGGGCTTTTGCATT